GGAAATAATAAAATCTTTAAAAAAAAAAAAAGTCACAAAAACCAGCAATCCAATTAGAAGACTCATGAAAAATGACCATGGTTGGTGTTCCAAATTTTAGATGCATATTTTAACTTAGATATTTTATTAAAGTATGGGATACTGAGACAACAAAATTCATGAAATGCCGCTTAATAACTCATTGCTCTTGAATTAAAGTGACTATCTGATCACCCTATATTTTTAAGAGTTCTATTCCTTTGGAAAGATCTAGAGATTTTTCAGCTACATTTGAACATTCTAGATTGGAAGTCTACACACAATGCATTTAGAACAGAATATAAGGTCTGCAAGTTCGCAACTTGCATATTAAACTCGGCCTTTGCCGTAAGGATACACATCACATGCACATTTGCTATAATTTATACATAACACATGCACAGCACATGCATATTTTGTCTCTCATCCATCTCTTCACCTGGCCCACACATTCATATAAACATACACATGCATAAACGCATGCAGGGAAACAAAGGCAAGAAGGATCAAATCAGATGTCCTCTCGCGCTCTCTGAACTACAGTAGTCGGACAGAGAAATTATACCGACTGCCTTCCTTGTTTGGCTGGCTGAGGTTATGAAAGGTAGGTAAGGATTTATGGGATATCCTGTGGTGTCATGTCTTCCAACTAGAACTATGTCTGACTCCTATGTTCATCTCAGTTCCCGAGACTGTGAGGTGTTAGTTAGGCACAAGCTGGTGGAAAATGAAATGGTCAAAAGCATATGCTCTACCACACAGTACCTGGGCTCATAACCTAACCTCACTAGTTACCAGATGAGAGACCAAGTACTCAAATGCCCTGAGCTTCAGCTTCTCCCTCCATAAAATGAGTTAAAATACCAACATCCTTAGTGGCTGCAAGGCAGCTTATAGAGAGGTATCCCCCTAGATTGTTAATGAGTACTCACTCATTAATTGATAAACTTATCTCAGAAAAGGTCTGGACTTACTGCCAACCATTACTTTTACAGACTTGCCTGTTTTACAGCTATATAGACAGGTGTTTGAGAATATAAGAAATTAAAATAGAAATAGGAAAGCTTTTTAGTCCATTTTGCTAATTAATATGTCAGAGCTCATAAAAAGGACTCATCGGCTTTCTTCAGTACTGCATCATCTTAAAGAGCTGGATCAGCAAAGATCTCTGTGGACAGTCAATATATATTAAAACAGCTCCAAGCGGTAAATCAAAACAACAAAAAATGAAGACACAGTAAAAAAAGTAAAATTTATAAGTCCTTTCTGTCTGAATGCAGAGGAGCATTAAACTGGTGGTTTAGGTGTCAGCTCAGTATGCAGCAAAAAAGAGAAAGGATTACTTCTCAGACACAGTCTTAGAGTCTAAGTGTTGCCAAAATTAAAGTATAATTTAAAAAATAAAAGAAGCTATGCCAAATTTGATGCAATTTTCTCTGGATTCTAATGTTCCCTCAGAATATGTCTTTTTAAAAAAGGTTTTATTGTTTAAAATACACATTTTGCTGAACTTCCCCCCCACCCCCCCGCTGCCGCATTGCTAGGATTTGAATTTTGTCAGAATTCAATTAGTAAGACAGTTAGGGAAAGAGGTAAAAGACACCTTTTTGGTTTTTCAAGGCTCTGTTGCTTGTAATTTTTCTTAAAGGAACCAGACAAAAGGCATTTTGCTCCTAACTTCTCCACGTAGATCTTGCCATTTCGTAGATATTAATACCTCTCATCCACGGAGGAGGACCCTACCAGATCACAAACAGGAGAATCATCCTGCCCTCTTCCTTGCCAAAGGATGCAATGCAATGCCCTGCTGGGGAAGCGCTGCCCTGAGGTAGGCTGTTAGAGAAGTCTCAGGAATACTGGATTGATTCCAGATGGGGTGAGGGAACACCACATTTTGGGCCAAAAATGTTGGAAAGATTTATCTCACCTGGGCCTTTGATTTGATCTGAGCTCTGAGGAATCAACCATTTAAAGATTAAGCCAAGGAAAGGTGCCAAAAATATTGTCACAAATTTGGGAGGTACCCAAGCCAGACCAACAGATGGAACTTGGCACGAAATGGCTCTTACACGCTAAGTAGCTGACTCAGAAGAAATTTTAACGCAGATGAATTTATTAAAATGTTGAATATCATCCTGAATAAGAGGATGGATGATAGATTTAGGTCAGCACATACAATTTAATTTAACTTCCTGATGGTCTTGGATAGTATGAAAGCTGCCCACATTTCTATAATTAAAAAGAGACATGGAGATACTCTTTCTTCTTAGCAAAAGAGATATCACTTTTTTACCTAAATATTCTGGAGAAAGGATTTGAGGAAAGGAAAGGTGAAACAAAAAGAAGCTGAGGATCCCTTTAACGTTGGTGAGAAAAGTATGAACACAGAATATTGCAAGTTAAAATCCAAACCAGTAACCTGCTTGGTGGTCAGAGACTGTAGCAGATTGAGATTATAGTTATATACTAGGTGAATTTTTAAAATGATTTTGTAACGGAAAGAGGTTGCCAGAATCAAAAGGATCTTAATCCTCTACCACATCACTACCACCACCACCACCATCATCATCATCATTATCATCATCCCACCATCACCACCACCACCACCACCATCATCACCATCACTATCACCACCACCACCACCATCATCATCATCATCATCATCCCACCATCACCACCACCACCACCAGCACCACCATCACTGTCACTACCACCACCACCACCATCATCATCATCACCACCATCACCACCACCACTACCACCACCATCATCATCATCATCATCCCACCATCACCAGCACCAGCACCACCGAAGCCCAATAAGAAACTCCTCTACAAAAATGCAGTACACATAAGGGATTGCATTTTATTTGAGGGATGAGTTGCTGAGGACCATTACAATTCTAGCTTAATTTTCCAAAAGAAATAAATATTATGTGCTCTTCTTGGAGCACATAAATTTATAATCTTAGTAGCATGTTTTTCTTGAATGGTGCTTTGTATTTTCTCAGAACTGTTGCTAATGTTTTACAGGAGCTCTCGTTTAACTCACCTCCAGACTGTGCAATTTTAGGGGCCTGCTTAGCCTTCTTCATTGTGTCTTACTGCATGCTACTTTTGCTCCAAAGTTATCAAGTTTCTGATTGTTTTTTAGCATTTGCTCTGGTTTCATGAATGGCCAATGAAAAACTCAAAGACATTGTGATATGATATAAAATACTTAAAATATAAGAATAGAGAACATTGTAATATCAGTACATTAGTAACCAAAATCTTCTTTAAAATGTCTGATGTATTTAAACAGTGGTTCATGTGATATAAAGAACATTGGCACTACCTCTCAACCAGCTAAAGTAAAGCTGCCATGTGAACCTTACAATTAACTGACTGGCAGCTTTTAAACTATGCCATTTGTGGCATTTTTGTATTAATTTGGAAGATTATTTCAATTTTTGTACTTAGACAATTAATTAAAAAAATTAATATTTTTATTTTACACTATATAACATATTATAGCAATATACTAAGATAACAATGTTCTCATTTAGAAACAGTGACAATAATTTTTAGTTACTGGCTAATAGTAATTTGCTTGGAAATGAAGTAAGATTAGAATAAGACTTGATTTCCTAGAAAAAGCCAGAAAATTTATGATTTGGTTATTTTCACAAACCAGATTGCTGAACAATCTTAAGAACGTTTCCACTTTTTACCTTGAAGCCTATTCCAGTATGTAAAAAGGCTTTAATCTTCAAGTGTTACTACCTGTGAGAGAACTACCTACCAGCAGTACCATGCATTTAAGATGAAAATAATATATTCTATCTTTGGGGTTCCTTGGTCATGAGACCTCTCTTCTCAGGCTCCTAAAAATATTTCCAGCAGTAGAGAATTTAACGGATGAGGAGGATGGGACGAGCAGCAGGTGGCACTTACACTCCCACAGAAATCTGTCCTTCCCCGTGATCTAACCTCTTAGGCTCTTTGTTAGGAGGAGCAGAAGAGAAACAATCTAAGAGCTGTGACCCAGCCCTTCTCACTAGAGAATCTGGAGACAGAAGAAAAGTAAGAAACTTAGAATCTTGCCCTGAATGTGACGGAGGTAATGAGGCATCAAGGCCACTTACTGCTGAAACGTAATTGGCACACCCACGCAGGAGATGCCTGGGGATGGTGAAGACTTCTTTTATATCAAAAATGGAGGGATGCCAGCACATTGTAACCCTTCTAAGAGTACAATGGATATTTTCCCGCCAAATAATACACCCCTAAAAGAAATGGATTACTGCACATTTATGAGCTTAATGGCTTTAAGTGTTTTCAATTCCTGTGACTGAATGATGGTGAAGGAAATGCGAAAGGGTAGAAGGCAGGCCACCCGGCGATGAAGGAGAGCTTGGATTTTAGACCTGAAGGCATCTCCCATACAATTGAGAAAGACCCAGTAGAGCCTTGGAGATCCCTGTGCACTTCCTAAAGAACCTCTAGGGAGCTTGTTGAGGAGTCTAAAGAAAGGCAATACTGTCATCTTGGGCACAATCCCCATTGGTGATGGGCAAAAAGACTACTCTTTTTTGAGGAGAAAGAAATGACCACATTTTTCTTATTCTGGAACATACTGTCTTACCACTTTAATGTGAAAATCATCATGGGAAAGAATTTCCAACTTTCTTGGGTTTTCTTTATAATTTTTTTGTTGTTCTAAGTGTTCAGCTGGCATACAGGTTTAAGACTTTCAGTTTTATAATTATTTTTTTGGAAACATTTATTCTTTCCTCTCAAACATTTTGAGTCAGCATACATTATGCCACCAGATACACAGCCAAGCAATAATTCATCTTTGTGGAAGTCAGAGACATCTCATGTATTAATTAGCAAGCCTTTCAGTGACTAGTGGATGGAAACAGGCTCCAACTGCTACTCAAACACAGCCAGTGATTTCCAGGAAGGAGAATATAAAGTCAGCTACAGGGAATGTCTTACCCGATCTGTGTCCAGCCAATGAATGGACTTTGCTTTCATCGGGTACTGAGAAGAAATAAAATAGACAAAAATCAGAACTGCTTGTAAATCAGCCATTTTTGAACAATAAATTAATACAGATTCATAATAAGTTAAATCTTTTACTAGCAAAGATTTGAGAAAATTTTTCACCCAGCCTACCTGGGCCACCTGATTTCTACTAGTAGATATTTTAAAGACAACTATAAAGAAATATACGTTAATTAGGTCTTCTGTGAATATAATTTCATTTTCTTTTAATTTTCCATACTTCCAGTTCTTTTAACTGGATTGTTGTTTCCATGTCTGCAAAAGGAGAAACTAAACTTAAGGACGCAGAGATGTATAATATATAATAAAACTCTTTGGGCACAACAGCAATTTACACATTCAATATTCAAGGAGTGGATTTCTATATCTGGTCAAAATGCAGCAAAAGGGAATAGATTTACAATTCATCCCAAAAAAGTTTTAAAAAATAGACAAAACATGAAACAATGGCATTCAAAAGATCAGACATCAGGCAACAAAGGACAGTGACTCCTAGGAGATGGAAAAGACAGGAGGTGAATCCTACAATTACCCAGCGTACTGTCTGGAGAAACTTTCCAGGCGGCAGTGCAAGCAGGAGAACTCGGGCAGAGCCCAGTGACATGGAGCTCGAGGACATGGAGCTGGATGTCAGGGAAGGCAAGGCAGGTTGTAGGGGAGAGAACCGGGGAGGAGAGAGCTACACAGAATTCTTCCTGAGATCTGCAAAGGGTCCCCTCGTGTATTTCGTTGAATACTGATGGTCACATGTATGTGAGGAAACTACCCAAGACCTGGGAAAAACCACCCAAAAGTGGAAAAGGGAACAGCGTCCAAAGTTCACACAGGGCAGGGAAGAGTGCCTATTCCCAGCAGCCAGAGTAAAAATGCCACAATTCAGGGGCATCAGTTAGAATATGAAGAAGGGCCTTGCTTCAGCAGTGGGGGGAAAAAATTAACCCTACATTAACACAGTTCTGATGAAATGGCTACATTTTTTGAAAGATACAAATTACCAAACTTTATACAGGGAGAAATTCATAATCTGAATAGCCCTATAGTTACTTTTTAATAAATGAATTTGTAGTTGAAACTTCCCCATAAAGAAAGTTCTAGACCCATACACCTTTACTGGTGAATTCTACCAAATATTTAAGGATGAAATAATACCAGTACTACACAAAATCTTTCAGAAAATTTCCCAACTCATTGTATGAGGCTGGTATTAACCTGATACTAATATTAGGCAAAGACACCAGATGACAACTATTAACCAATATCCCTCGTGAACACAGATGCAACATTCTCAATCCTTAAGCATCTCTGCATGGATTATCACCTCAATCTTCAACAACAGCTGTTAACACTCACCATGTGCCACTGTCTATGTTAGTCTATAACACTCTGGTGCCCAGGGGTTGAAGCAAGTGAGGGGACCTTGCGAACAAGGAGGACCTCTTCCATCCCTTCACACTAGGTTGGTCCCAGTGCTACGCCCCTCCTCCTCCGCCGACAGCAGTCAGTCATGTTTCACTGACCCACGTACTGTTCTTAGATCTTCCCACTCTCACCAGCCCTCCCTTCCTATGCTGTTTCTTTATTTTCTAGAAAAAAGCACTACATAGCTGTGATTTTCCTGGTATCGACTGCTTAAAAATCTTGTTAGACTTTTCTTCTTATTTCCAGTTGGAGATGGCAGTCTGCACTTATCAGGCTCCAATTATGGGCCAAATTCTGTCTTTCCAAGGTCTAAAAGAAACTGATAGTAGAATCTACAGTATAAATAGAAAACAATGATGAAAAACGATGATGTTAATAATACTAATAATAATACCTGTAGCTAATACTTATTGAGTACCTGTAATACACAGGTTCTGCCCTGCACACTTTATATCTGAGAATTCATTTAATCTTTACAATAACCTAGGAGGATGGGTATCATTATTACCCTGACTTTACAGATAAAGACACCGAGGCCCACCTCATCAGTGGAGGAGCTAGAAGTAACCCTGGCACTTTAACCACTCTCCCATACTTGTGATGAGTGATAGAAGAGATGTCAGATTTTTTGAGTCATCAGTACCACAAATTAAATATAAGAAAACGTTTGACAAACAATTACATATTAGAAAACTATTATCCTTCTTATTTGACTATATGTTATTAATAGAAATCTTTCTGTGGTGACCAATGTTAACAAGTGTTAGCTATAATTTTGTTTAACACGTTCAGAAATCTACAGTTCTAACGGGTTCAAGCTAAAATATTCATCCCCATTTCACAGATGAGAAATCATCGGTTGGAATTAAAATCCTGACTTGGAAACTTGCTAGTTACATGAATTTATTTTAACTTTCTGTGCCTCAATCTCATTATATAGAAAATGAGGATAATATTATTTATCCCACAGGTTTGCAGTGAAGCTATATGTGTAAGTTTATGCAAAGCACTCAGAAGATCATATAGTAAGTGCTTAATAAATATGAGCTATTATCGTCATCATTAATGAGAAACTAAACAGAAAGGCAGAAAAACATGATCGCTAATAACGAGATAGATGTAGGTTGAATCTCAGCTTTGTCAGGCAAGTTACAAAGTTCTTTTCATCCTCAGTTTCCCCACATGAAAAGTGACATAAAAACACTACACAGGGAGTTTGAGAACTAAATGAAAAAAAATGTACAAAAGAACTTAGCACAGCGGCAGGTATATATTTCTCAATAAACGAAAACTTTTGACAAATGGAAACCGTGAGGGTGGTCAAGGCGGTGAATTTGATGATGGTGGGGTGTTTATGAGTTGCCTTGCCTGGGATTATAAAGGAACAGAGGGGGAAGTAACTGAGAGCACACTACGTTTCAGGCAGGGCACAGGATGCTTTCGATCGTTATTTCATGGATAGTCCAACACCCACAGCACAATTCACCTCCCAGTTTACCTGGCTCCTAGTTCATCCCGTAGTGGAAGAAAGGCCAAAGGGACACCGTATTCAGACTATGTGATCTTATGATGAGTGGTTATTCTGAAGAAAGGGATTCGTACAAAGGTAGGGTTTTGTTACTTGGTTTTTGTTTTAACAGACAAGTTATCCCATTAAATCTAGGCCAATTTAAGTACTCAAAATTCCCCAGCCATATTAGGTTAAAATGTGGCAACTTCTTAAATCTTTGGCTGAATACTGTCTATTATTTTTAGTAGGAATATTCATCATTACTTTAATTGACAATTTGAAATTCTTTAGAACACCAACATAAACTGTTTCAAAAAACAGTGCAGAAAATCCAAATGGGTGATAGGCATAAAAATTAGGGGTCTTTCTCCAAAATATTCACTGACACAGATGTCTATCTTTAGGACAGAAGATAAATGAGTACACATAATAGAAAAGAGAGGGAACTATAGTGCCTTAATTAATAGAATACATTTTATTTAAAAGGTTAAACTGGGAACAATCATCTTTTATGCATATGCTTAGTGCTGGGAAGAGATTTAAATAACAGCAGCAAATGAGAAAATGAGGTAAAATTACACATACCACCAAGGCTTTTTTTTTAAAATGACAAGTGTTATAATTAATACTCAACTTCCTTTATAACTCATATTATCTTAGAGCTAGTACAAAGTTATCTCTTGGGGCTGGAGCTTAAGTCTAGTTGTCTCACTGTGTAATATTTAGATAGCACAGGGATTGGAACAGTAGCAATATGAATATGACAGGTATGTCATTTTAAACAAAGAGCTTATTTACAAGACATTGACAAATGAGTGAGCCTGGCGTGGGAAAAGTCTTCCATTCTAGAATGGTAGGGTACCAAAAGCATCACATCAGAGAGTATTGATGGAGCAGGAGCCAAAGTTTCTTGTTCTGGTTCCGATGACATATTGTTTTCTTTTTTTAAAATAAGTTTGCAGAGGCTATCATGTTCCCTTTCTTATTCTTCAGTTTTAACCAAGGGCTGGTACTACCCGCTCTTGATTACTTTAAAGGGATATTACAGTAATTGCAGAGGTATCAATGATACTTTAAAGGGATATTACAGTAATTGCAGAGGTATCAATGAAATGTTGAGCCCTTCTGGAGCTGAAATTTGTAGACATTTTTGTTGTGATTATTAAATACTTAGAAGGCACTGTGGACTTGCCCCTCTGGAGACTTCTCTGAATTTATTTAGATAATGGGATTTCTATACTAAGCTCATGCTTCCTGGCATTCGACTCGAGATTGATGGCCACTATTTGATTTAATTAAGGGAAGGTGCTTCATAAGGAGGACACTGTGGCATCTGGATGTTTGTTTATTTCCTGGTGCATGCTCCGGTTTAGGAAGCCTTGCTGGGGAAAACAGCAGCCCCTTGGCCTGTGGTTCCAGTTAGTGTCGTTGTAGAGCTTTGACGCTAAATAGAACTGCTCAATTCTGATGGCACCTTTTTAAAAAGCATGGATAAACACATTGTATCTTTTGACTTAATTTCAACCAGGTTCATTGACAGAATTCAGAGAAACCATAAATAAAGAAAATATGGGGTGGAAATCTTGAAAAACATGGCATTCTAAGAACATATTAGTGGCAAACATTAGAGTGCACACAATAGTTTAATATATTGGCTTCCTGGTAGGATACATGTTTATGAATACAGTGATCACTTAAAGTGTTTTATTCTTTTGTCAAGCCTTCTTATACACTTCAAATGCATTTTTGCTGGGGGAAAAACAATCCCTTCGCTTATTGATAGCATTTGATACGCATCCTATAACATAAGTGACTATTAGGACTGCACTGGCTTAATAAAAATTTGCAGAACAGTGGCAGATTCGGCGAGTTAATGGGCTCCATATGCTCTTCTTACACTGACAGAAGATGGTATATTGCTAACATGCACAAATGCCTTCAGATGAAGATTGCCATCAGCTACAGTTATTCTTTTTGAGAATGCCAACACTGTGTCAGGAATGGGGAACATGCAAATGGGTTCAGATTCCCACTACTTCATATTGAG